ATCATATCAATTATTTTCTATTACAAAATAAAACCTCCAAAATGTAACATATATTTCACTCAAGTAGCTTGGAATGCATATAATCTACAATGCATTGTGGGGGGGGGGAGAGTTTTATATGTTTTTTTAATTATATGTTTGGATGCCTACAGGAAAAGATGCCCCATATTTGCAGCATATTAAATATAAAATGCAGAATGAGCCAGATATCAAAAGTATTATTCCATCTATCAAATATCGCAATTCATTCTTGGCATGCTTTTAATCCACCAGTACATTTTGTGTGGAGGGGTCAGGGAGACAAAACAGGAAGTAAAGGTTTCAAACCAAGAGTTCCTTTATAAAAGTTCAGCTTTTTATCTCGTGCTTATTTCAGACAAGAAGGAAAGGTTTGCAGGTTACAAAGAATTCTGAAAAAAATGACTCTAAATGCAAAGTATCAATCAATGCAGTGCTGCAATTTTTAGACAAAATTAGACTTAATTGGTATAAAATATCCAAAATACTCAGGAGTGGCTCCTTTACAAACATACTATTTATAATGAATACATTGATACAGAATGACTTATTTAAAAAAGCAAGGCAATATTTTATAGACATAACAATCAACATTACAATAATTCAGAAAGTACATTTGTGCCGGCTGTTTTACACGCTTTTATTATTCAATTGACAAATTATTGTGGACTCAGAATCAGGCAGAATTATGTATCATTCTGCTTAAGACTGCAACATTGAAACAATAAACAATTTTTTCAGATCTTTACTGAATAAAAAAAGCCATCAGGTTTTTCTTGAAGATATTATCATTAGCAATTGTCCCATGTGTGCCTTTTAATGTTGGTATAGTGTGCAAATTACTGCCAAGTGTATACCTAATTAAAAGTAAGTTCTGACATGCTGATTAAAGATACAAAGGTAGTGCAATATAGGCTTTATAAATGGTCTTTTGCATTCCGGATTTTAAATAATCAGAAAAAAGTCCCATGTGTCCCACCTCCCCCCAGATATGTGAAGAATATAAAACCATTACAAGGTTCAGTTTCAAAAATTGTCCAAATGAAAGATTTGATTTTAAATTCTGCTTGTATTGATTGCAAGTAGATCTCTCTTCTTAGAAATGTCTGGCAAACTATTTTAGGGTGCAAAATTCTCTTCCAAAACCTGTGGTGGAATTCAATGCTGTCTTTCTGCTGATGGCTGTCCTCCAGAATTAGGGGAGAATTATTAATTACCTTGAAGATCTCACTCATAATCAAAATGTCCTGAGATGGGGATGCACTCCAGAGGAGCAATGGGAGTTCTGGTGGAGATTGGCGACAGCAGTGGAGAAAATCCTGTTTTTCCAGCAAAAATTCATTCATAATCATACAGTATCAGATTTGCAAAGATAAATTTTAAGAACTTCAAATGATTAACCAAATGCTTAAATAGCCATCAAGGAAGTTGAGGAAAACCTTTTAAGACAATGACACTGTTTAATTCTTTTTCTTTAACTTGTTCCTGAATGTAGCCTATTAGTTTTTATTAAAACTCTAAGTATGATCTACCACAAAGACATATAAACTCATTTTGAAAAGACAGATAGTTCCAATTAGTATTTCAGTGTTCTAATTTATTCCTAGGTAGTAGGACTGAATTTTATATTTCTCAAAGTATCATGAAGAAAATATAACAGCTATAATATTTATTAGAATAGCTATAATCGGGAGTCAAACTATTTTCCAAGGCACCTGAGGGTAGAACAAGAAGCAATGGGTGGGAACTAATCAAGGAGAGAAGCAACTTAGAACTGAGGAGAAATTTCCTGACAGTTAGAACAATTAATCAGTGGAACAGCTTGCCTCCAGAAGTTGTGAATGTTACAACAGTGGAAGTTTTAAAGAAGATGTTGGGCATCCATTTGTCTGAAGTAGTGTAGGGTTTCCTGCCTAAACGGGTTGGACTAGAAGACTTCCAAGGTCTCTTCCAACTCTGTTAAATTAATATTTTTTTTAAAAAAAATAT